AGAGACGGGGTCTCGCTATGTTGCCCAGGCTGGTCTCGAACTCCTGACCTCGAGCGATCCTCCCGCCTCGGCCTCCCCAGAGTGCTGGGATCACAGGCGTGCGCCACCGCGCCCGGCTGTTTCATAGAGATACAAAGAGGGTAAAGTCACCTGTCTGAGATCACATAGTTAAAAATCAGCAGAGCCAGGATTCGAATCTAGTCTGTCTTGTCCCCAAGTCTACAGACCTCACTGCCGGACTCCGCCACCTCTTCCTCGTAGAAAATATCTGGAAAGGGGCCGTCTACACTGACTGTCCCCAGTGAGTGCCCGTCAACTGGGTCCTCTCCAAAGTCACAGATGACGTCCTCGTCCTTGAATCGATTGCACGCTTCTCAGTGTGGCTTTGGCTCGACTTCCGGGCGGCGTTAGACTCTGTTGGCCGTGTCTCCGTTCTTGGAACATGCCGGAACATGGGGTTCTCTGCAGTCACACTTCCCAGATCCCCCTCCTCCGTCCCCTCCTCACAAGGGTCTCTCCTGGTCCACGTGGGCCTGGGCCACTGGATCCATTCCCGCGACACGAATTATAAATGCACGGTGACTTCCAAACCTCCTAATGCATCCATGTCCTACTCTCAGGCCCCTCCACTTGGCTGTCCCCCAGGGAACTCAAAAAAGTCTAGAACGAATTGGAAATCACCCCACCCACCGCCACCGAAACATCATCTCTTCGCAGGAAAGCACAACCCTGTAAAGCAAACCAGACATCCCAGGGCTGGCTTTTTCTGGAGGCGGGCGGGGCCGGGAGAGGAGGTCACGCTCAACGCCACCTGCAGGGGACAGCCTCGGCCAGCGGCAGGGCAGGCTGCCACCCAGCCCAGATGTGGCCTCCTGGGGCCAGGCCTTTGGCCTTTTAGAGGAAACCCCCCTCAAACTGGCGTTATTCTGTGAAACGTCCTGGTTGGTAAATGTTGTCCTCTAATCTGAATATTGCAAAACCGCCGCCGAGGCCAGATCTCCTGCTGACCAGATGGCACCTTTTCAAGCTGTCAGATCACACCTCCGCCCGCCCACGGTCCCCGCAGCTGCAGAGACCGTTTCTGGGCCATGGCCCACGTGTCTGTCTCCAGCCTGACCTCTCTTCTCCCCAGCTGCAAACCCTCCGGTCCAGCTGTCCCTCCCGCCTCACGCTCAACACGGCCGACACCGTAGCCCTGGGTGACAACAGCCTTCTGCTCTTCAAGAAGAGCTAGGAATCTGCATTTGTGTGTGACATGGCAATTTTTTTAAAAATTCACATTTTTAAGAAATTTCAGATAGGCCCGGCGCGGTGGCTCAGGCCTGTGATCCCAGCACTCTGGGAGGCCGAGGCGGGAGGATCGCTCGAGGTCAGGAGTTCGAGACCAGCCTGGGCAACAGAGCAAGACCCCCTGTCTACTAAAGATAGAAAGAAATTAGCTAGACAACTAAAAATATATAGAAAAAAAAAATTAGCCAGGCATGGTGGCGCATGCCTGTAGTCCCAGCTACTCCTGTC